GGTGAAAACTTTTAAAAAGCATGAATTGTAATTAAAAGTTTTAATGGAGCGGTTTTCCTATCAAATTTACTCTACATAATTAACAGGCAACAGAAGTTTTAGAATAACGATAAATTTCTCAGAAAACCAAACTTTAACGGGTGATAAAAATTAGTTTTTAATTATAAGTGTCGTGGATGTCCACGAGGGGTTTAAATCAGTTTTTTTGTGTAAAACCAGACGTCGCAAGCGATACCAGAGTATCACTTGTACGTAGCCTACCCAGATCTCATCCCCCACCCAGTGGAGCTCTGTAAACCGACTCAGCGATAGAAATACATAAACTTTAAAAGGTGTTATTTTAATTCACTCTTATCTTCTGTAAAATAGAAGCTACTCCTTCAGATAAGCGTTCCAATTATTTGCGTAGGAAGTCGGGTTTCTTATTAAACTTATAATAAAATTATTATGTTAAGAGTCTAGGATTTGAAGAGTTCCATTATGGGGGGATGGAGTGCAAATCAAGGCGTTACTTTCCTAAATGTTACTTTTGCTTATCGGGTCCTCGTGACACTGATAATACCGGTTTCACTAAGCATGCAACTGTGTAGTCGTTTTAGAAGCTATACAATTTAAAAACCTGTTCCAGTTTTATTTCCGGTCCACCAAAGACTCCGTTTGTGAGCTACAAACGAGGTGCTATAATATATCATTTATACATATCCCAGTAGTATATATGAATATCTTAGTTTCACTTTTTGAACCAAATTAAAAAGAAAGCAACCGGCGGTGGTGTTGACCTGGTACTAGAAACTTTATTCTTATTACTGTTTACTTGGTACTTGTTTTGGTCGCATTAATAAATTTGAAAAAACAAACTTTAAAACTGTAATGCAGTGCATTTAAAAAGATTAAATATCTCATTCAAGCTCGGTGATCATAATAACAAAACACAGTCAAATTTTGTCTTTAATAGGTAATTTGTTATATATAGTCGTTCAGTGTTTCGATATTTATAATATTTCAACGATTTAGAATTGATAAAAATGATGTTCGTTCTTTAACCCCGTTCAAAAAGTGTTATATTAAATGACTAGCTGTACCCCAGGTGTTACCTGCAGTTTATTAGGTATATTTTTCTGCAGTAAAACATAGCCTATACCATGCCACATTTTATAAATATCACTCCAACCGTTTAGACGTAAAGAAGTAACTAACATACACATTCACAAACATTCACCTTTATAATATTAGTGTGATTAGTTTGTGGAGTAAAAGTAATTCAAACGAAGATAGTACCTACATGATTATAAAGAGTTTTGTTTCTCCCTTCTTCCTTTTTTCCTATAAACGCATAGTGTCATTAAAACACAATTACTTCTACGGATTCTCGTCCATAAGCAGCAGGTACAAAATTAAAAAGGTGCTTACACGGAGAAACTAAAAACAACGACAAATTATAAAACACATTAAAAAGTTCATCTGTTTCAGAATGTTATTAAAAATATTCATAATTATCTCAAGTGAAACAAAAACAAAATGTACACTCAAAACATAGGTAATAACCATGAATCCCCAGTGACACCGTGCATCTGGAAATTTTCAGCAAAATGAGAACGTGAAAAAAAGCAGCCTTTGTTTAGTGAAGATCCCGCGAGTGCCGGCGGCGTCATCAAAAGGCCTAATTAATTAACACAAGTACTCGTTATGCGCCGTTAGAATGTGCCCCTAGGGTAAGTATTCATAAGTAAACAATGGATACTCGCCGCCAAAGAAAGATGAAAATGATTGAGGTTAGCTAATATTTGCATTCGCTATAATAACAATCATGGTTTTCTTTGAGGACACATTGGAAGCAGATCACTGTTTGTCCTATTTATTACGAATCACCAATATATTGCCCTAAATAAATATTAGAAGGATTTCCTGTTGCTCTCGAGGAACCGACCGTCGGTTCGTTGGTATCCGTAAAACTCCCCAATTTTTTTGTATAACAACACAATGGTATTTGGTCAATATAAGAAGTATAATGAAATCACTGTATGTACGTTGAGGAAAAAAAACAAGTGTCATAGAAACAAAATAAAATACCTACTTCTTATTATGGGATCGTTGGCATTTTGTTATACTCTCTATCACGTTTCAGGTACGTGTTGCTTTAAAGGTATTTGATTATGAGCAATATTTATTACTTAAATCGACATTTAATTTACCAATTCTATAACCATACAGAGTTAGATTTGCAATATTAAAACGATATTTGATGATGACCTCCGTGGTCGAGTGGTTCGCACGCCGGGTTTCATGGTGTCGCCGACTAGAGAGGTCCCGGGTTCGAATCCCGGTGGGGGCAGATGTTTGTGTAATTAATACGAGCATTTAGACTCCAGTCATGGATGTTTAATATGTATTTCTATATAAATATACTTATCTAAGTACAATATATGTATTCTATCCGTTACTCTAGCATCCCATTACACAAGCCTTATAGTGCTTACTTTGGGGCTAGGCTAATTGGTGTGAGTGTTGGAAATATTTATTTATGAAAATTACTCAGATTCAAATACTTTACAGGGAAGCGACAAAAACATATTATCAAAAGTAATGAGTATTCTAAAAACGCGCGCATTACAGCTATAATAGGAGTTAACTTGATGGAAAACACCAGCTGACTTTCAATTACATAGTTTGAAAACGAAACGTAAGGTGTGGACGGCGTGACGTTAACGCGTTGACGATAGAAAATAAGATAACTAAGCTTTTGAACTTGAACTGTCTGTTGACCACTCGCTGCTTGTAGTTTGTGAAGGATTTCCATGGTAATAGATACTACGACTCCGCTAATTAACTACTACTACTAATCATCGTAACAATTACTACATCGTTGACTGCATGCAGCATGGAATTTTATACAAAGAATACTGAACAGCTCGAGTTGGACCGATATCCGATATCGAAATTCGATTTGAGTAGTACAACCTTAAGGGCTTATGGTACTACGCAAACCTCGTAAAAAAGATATATTTTACATTAAATACACAAATCTAATTTGGTTTGTCCTATGAAACTACATATATCAGTATACTTGTACATAAATAAACCTACCAAATGTAACGTTACGTTACATGTTTTCTATTTTTATTGGAAACATGATACCTACGAATCTTTTGTATATTTTAATAGGTTTTTTCCCAAATATCCGATTAAAATATTATCGTGGGTGGAAACCTGCGGTGATATTGATACGCATCTCAAAGATTAAAGGTCAAAAGTAAAACCAACCTAAGACAACATCACATACATCTTTTTGATCTCAAGAGCAGCAGTCGTGCTATTGTAATCCGGATCAAAAATAACACGTGAAAGCAGATTATATATGAGCATTTCATATGTTCATTCATACAAAACGTAGGACTGATTATATGAAGAACATCAAAGGCGAGTTATGGTAATTTCAGTCTAATTTTAACAAGAAAGGCGTTTTTGCGTGACGATTCATCAATACAGTGCCGATACTTATTGGTAGTCAAAGTCAAAGTTTAAATACATTTGATAACATAACTTTAGGACTTACATACTAATATATGGCATGAACTTTTAATACAGGTATGTACGTTTTTTTATATTAGGCGCAGAAAATTAGCCCACCCAACTTAATCCTATGTACCAGTTAAGTTGCAAAGATAAATATTTTAACAAAAATTCTATCTTCTTGCAGGCTTGAAACCGATCCCGTGCTCGGTGAAGCCTTGGAAACTTTATCTATCGACAAATACGTCTTGTGTAAAAAGTATGCTATCAATAGCGTAATATCTCCAGCCCATATTATGTTGTGGTTTCTGAAACTAGTCTATCTGTTGATATCAGGTTACTGTTATCGATCCGGTAAACGGGAATATTAGAATAACGGATTTTATAATTTAATTTCACCTAAAATTGCGCAAGGAAATTTAAGGAAACTATACCAAGTAGTAAAGATTAAATTTCAATTTCAATTGCATTGAAATCAACGTTACATTTAGGGCATTGACCCGGCCAGAAATCAAGTTCGGAACTCCGAAAATGATGAAATAGTTTCAATGATGATTTTCGAATGCCTCTCGAGTAAGTCTTATCGGAAACCAATAATGAAAACTTCGTGGTGTAGTATAAATAGTAAATTCAGGAACGTATCCATTAATTTTTTTTATAATGAAATTTGACTTTTACTAAATTTGAACAATAATTTCTATTGTTTACTATAAAAATGGTTTATATTCTTTTCTTAATTTGCACGATGATAAAACACGTGTCCTTCAATCAGCGTTACCACAACAGTTTTATCAAGGGATATAATGAAATTAAAAAAAAAATCTCCAATTACTAAAATGAAACCATTCTACTAGACTATGACAAAGTAAGAGCTATTAAAGAATCGATATAAAAGCAATAACGAAATTTTCGTATTATTTTAATTGCCTAATTTGATATATAATTGCCCAATACAAAAAGCACATATGAGACAAAAGATACATAAGATACTTTTTATTGAAATTGGTTACTTTATTAGTAACTTACTTACGAATTTATTTATCTTTTTAACGATTTTTCATAACTTAAATTGCAATTTAATTACAGAAGTATGTCACCAAATTAAAATTTGGGAGCTTTATATAGCTTGTTATAAATATGGTGTTCGTAAAAGCACTTAAACAGTTCAACAGAAAAAACCCTCAGTGATAACATTTTTATTTTTAATTCATCAAAGAAAACGAAATAATTCAATGTTATGTTTTATTTTTGAGAAAACTACAGAAAAATAAAATAAATCTAATAATAATAATAACTTTAAATAACCAAAATAACATAAAATTAAAATATTTGATATTCATGCCTTGACTTTGGATCTATTAAAATGTGAGTTGAATATTATATTATTATGTCTAAAAGCAAAATCAAAACACGCTTTAGCTTTTTATTCAGATAGGTATAACAAATTCCATAAATAACTCCCTGTGAATATACTTAATTATTAATCTTACCTTATAAAGAGCTCATCCAAACATAAAGCGATCGATCCCATTCAATTCACCAATTTGTATTCAGATTATTGAACAGCAATTCTATCGTTCATTAATATTCAAGTTTTGCTACAACCGCCAGTAGCACGTCCGAGAATCGTAGCGCGAGCGTAGACGTGCTACGGGAGCAACGTAGCGACTGCCGTTACGGCGCGTAGCCGACTGCGAAGAGAATGGCACGGTCGGTGAACTTCGGAATAGCTCGGCGATCGACGGGTAAACCCGACAGCGCGAGCGGTGGAAAGTTATGTAAGTCCGGCTCCAGACTGGCTCATTTTCGGTCTTGCTAATTACGCCACTCAAATTACGCGGGGATGACTTACGTCTTGCTTTGATATTGGCTGCAGTCAACTGGGAACTTTGGGAGAACAATTAGAAAATATTACTTTTAAATTACGCTGAAGGCCCTTTTGTAATAGGTACCTACTTTTAATTAAAACAAAAGAATTTGACTTGGTAGCTTGGTGGGTACGTTTCAAATATTATAAATCGCGTCTTTTGTTGTATGTTTTTTTGTTTATAGGTTATAGTTACTATAAACAAGATTATGAATATATTAATATTTATAATTAATAATAATAAGAAATCTGATTCCAGTGGCCAATTGTTATTATTTTATAACAGGCTGCTTATGATATGTTCTCATATTTAACATATTTTCACATATTTTATAAGGTGCTTTGGTTTACTCAAAATCAATGTTTTTAAATTGATTGGATCGCCCTCGCTGCTGTTTTATGTTTACTTTGTGGCTGGAACAAAGATTTCGCCTTGAAACAAATGTGAAAATTGCCAGCCAAATGACAAAATCACTAAGAGTTTTCCTATGTACGCCATGACTTATTTGGCTTCAAGAGCTTTTTTGTTAGTAATAACTATATATGTCACCGGCAATATGTATAATGCAGGTATTCTATACCTAGGAATTGTATATAATGCCTAGGGCGTCTAGGCAATGTATGGAATATATATTATGTTTACAATACCTAGGGATTGAAGCCCACCGGCAATGTGTAAAAAATCGGGATTAAATAAATTTATCGTCACCAAAACTAACCAAACCTAAACCTACCCATATGCATATAAAATGACAGACGGATTAAGATGCAAAATTAAGAGAAGAGTTTAGAATAGAGAAGGGAGTAAGACAGGGGGACCCTTTGTCTCCTACACTGTTTTCTGCAGTTTTAGAGGATATATTCAGAAACTTAGATTGGAAAGAACTGGGAATAAACATTAATGGTAGCAAATAATATCATCTAAGGTTAGCTGATGATCTTGTTTTGTTTGCGGAATGTCCAGCAGTGCTCCAACACATGCTGATAAAACTTGCGGAGGAAAGTGAGAAAGCAGGGTTAACCATGAACCTAACAAAGACCAAGGTTCCAAAGACCAATGAGAATCAGAAAAGACCAATGGTTCCAAAATAAATCATCAGCATCATCATCATCAGCCTATTAATGTCCCCACTGCTGGAGCACAGGACCTTCCTACGGATGGAATAGGGAGATTGGGCCATGACCCACCACGCAGGCCCAGTGCGGATTGGTGGGTGCTAACGACTGCAGATGCAGTCGGGATCAACAGCTTAACGTGCCTTCCGAAGTACGGAGGAGCTCGAGATAGTAAATTTTGGGTCAGCCATCCAATGACCGACCACTGCGAAAGTTGCTTAACTTCAACGATCGTAGCCGAACGCGCTAACCACTTGCGCCATCGAGCTCCTCCCAAAATGAATATTCTAGTAAAAAATAAACTTATTGAATACGTTGATGATACAAGTGATGGGTATTGTTGGGACAAGTGATAGCAACAGAACTACAAATGCAACAACAATAACAGCGTAGAACTAATAACACATGGTCATGATACTGGTCCCTGAAACAAATTATGAAAAACAATTATATGCCTAGCCTACACAAAAAGAAAGTATTCGACACTTGCATACTTCCAGTACTCACCTATGAATGCCAAACATGGTCCTACTCAAACCATACAACACAACGGTTAAAAGTACGCCAACAAGGAATCGAAAGATATATGCTAGGTGTCAAACTAAAGGACAAACTTCGTCTTTCTGCCATAAGAAAAAAGACTAAAGGACTGGATACACATTATGAGGTCGAAGAACGACAAGTGGGCAAAAGATATCATGGAGTGGTACCCCCGAGATGTTAAACGTTGAAGAGATAGACAACACAAAAGATGGGAAGACGATCTACCCAAAAGTTGGCGACGAGCAGCCACAGATAGGAACCAATGGGCCAATTTGGAGGAGGCCTATGTCCAAGGACAACCTGATTGAACACGTGCCGAAGTCAGTGATTAAACTAAAAGTTATAATTTTAAGTGACTTTTAACATATACAGCAGAGAATAAAGGCTATTGCCATTTTTTTTATTTTTTTCTAGATGAACAATATACACTTGATTAGGTATCAGCAGTTAGTATATGTATTCTATCGGTTACCCTAGTATCTCTTAGCACAAGCCTTACAGTGCTTATTTTAGGGCTAGGCTAATTGGTGTGAATGATAGAAATAGTTTTTATTGTTTATATTCTAATTTACATTTTAAATAATTATTTATGACATTGCCTTGAATTTTTTACCAAGCCGAGAATGAAAGTTAACAAAAGAAGTTCAGGTGCTGACTTCTCTATGCAGTTACTAAAATTCTATCGACAGATAATTGCTTTACCAGGTCACCTGATAACAGCTTGATTCTTTTGCCGAAGTTTTGCTTTTGGAAACTTGCCATATTGAAGTATCGTCAATCGAGACAAAATTTGCACAAGCTCGTTGTGGTCACAATGTACGTATAGTCACACCAAAGGCCGCAGGTGTATTAATATCCCCACTGCTGGAGCACAGGTCTACCCTAGGGATAGAATTGGGTGATTTTACCATGACCCATCGCCCATCGCGGGCCCAGTGCGTAGTGGCGGGTGTTAACGACTGCAAATTCAGCCGGGAACAACGGCTTAACGTGCCTTTCGTAGCACAGAGAAGCTCGAGATAATAAATTTTTGAGTACCCATTCAATGACCAACCACTGCAAAAGTTGCTTACCACAAACGCCATCGAGCACCTCACACGAAACAAATGACTAATACGAACATTAATTATGTATGACACTTAAATCTATTCATAAGTTTGATCGCGGCCTGGTACAACTAAAATTCGAGCAATATGAATACTAAAGTGTTCCATTACAACGACGACATAGGCTTAAGAGAGCTTAGTATTTGTCATTAGTACTAATTGCTTATACTAATTGCTTAGTACTACGAATGCTAATGCCATGTAGGCGGTGATTAAACTTGGGTAGGAATTAAAATCCATAAAGTTGATATATGTATGTATATATTTTAAACTGTTTACAATATATACATATATTTTAAACACTTGTTCAAAATAGAGGTAGACAGAAACATTTCCTTAAAGCCTTTCTTATTTATAGATAAACTTGTGGGTAACCGCGACTTCGTCTGCGTGAAAAAATTGGTTTTTCGTACACCTTTAAGGGTGATTTCTAGAATAAAAACGATCCTATGTCCTTTGCCGGGACTCAAAGTAGCTCTAAACCAAATCTCATTTAAATTGGTTTAGCGGTTTAAGCGTGAGGAGGTAACAGACACAAAGACAGACACACTTTCGCATTTGTAATATTAGTATGGATGTCAAATTACAAAACAGATATTTTTTTAAAGAACTAGAAACCAAGCTAAATACACTCACGAAGTGGTTTTTTCCCGTATCCGTCACAGAACTGTTGTAATTCTAAACTCACAAGACCGCAGTTTTGTGCGGTCCCGCAGCCGCCGCGGCTGCGATAATGGGCGAAACCCGCAGTCCCGTCTGCGGGGAATCGCGTCCTCCTGCGCGCGTTTCCAGCTGCTGCCGCAAACACCTGCGCGCTCTGCGGGTGCAAATCACGTCGTGAGTGTATTTAACTTGGTTTCTAGTTATTTAAAAAAAAATCTGTTTTGTAATTTGACATCCATACTAACATTACAAATGCGAAAGTGTGTCTGTCTTTGTGTCAGTTACCTCCTCACGCTTAAACCGCTAAACCAATTTAAATGAGATTTGGTTTAGAGCTAAAAAGAAGAATTTAAAAGTTGTTTAAACCACTGGCTGCAGCTTGTTGTCTGTACATTAATATTTCGATTTGTCTAATAAATCAAAAGTTTGCAAAATCATAAAACCACGTATTTCTAAGAAAAGTGCAATAACTTTTTGTGTTGCAATATTTGTCACGCCCAAAATAGATTTCAGTATTTTATTTGTACAAAACAAATTAAGCTATATATAAAAACACTTGTACCGTACGTACCTACAATCTAACATTTATTCCCTAACCACCAAAAATCGTGAACACAAAACTTTTCGCGTGAACCTTTTTATTTAATCCGCGTTCGCTTTATCGCATTCGCGCTTGGATATAACGCCATCACAAAACGATAAAATCAAAGCTAAATACATCGTTATATATTTTTTTCGGTCCCAACAGAATCGGAGTTGCCGTTTTTTATTCGAGTCGATTCTTTTATGATTCAACTGTGTTCAGAAGTGGCATAAAACATGCAGCTATGAAAAAAATTGGCTTGACATACCTTTTCATATTATTTTATTTACCTCCCTATTCGAATATAGACCTAGAGTTGATATGAATAGCAGCTGATTAGTTTACCTCAGGTTGAATTTTTTTTTGTGATTCAATGATGTTGATAGATGTTTCTCAATGCGTTAGTATATTTGTTTTTTTTATTGTTCTAAGAGCATATCTTCAAGATGCGTGGACCGATTTTAATGAGTCGTTTTTGTTTGAATTAGTTTTTGACGAGGTGGTCCCATATTAATTTAGTGAAGATTTGGTGAGTTCTTGCGGAGACAAACAATGGAACTCTACATTTTTTAATTTGTTTTTATGAAGTTGATTGTTATTTTATAAATCGAATATAATGTATACATAGATGGACTTAGGTAGACAAAAGACTCTGCTTTGTTATAACGTGTAACCCATGAACTATATATACTTCGTTGCGTATAACGTTCACTTTTACGACATACGTGACC